ATTGCTGAAATGTACAATTACTGGAAGGTAAGGTTGCCCTATTTTAGGTTCCCTAGCTCTAAACGGTTAAGATCAGTTGCCAACTGCTTCGATTGGTGATATCAACTAATTGCCTTCCGATCAAGATTTTTCAAAGTTCTTTGTCCCACCGCCCTCTTTTTGAATTCACTTCCTTATGAACTACGCATAGTAGACTCCTAGGAATTGGTAATTCAGAGCAATGCGTCGCTCGTTTTTCGATCACCATTTCTACAACAAGATATTGTAGGAAGCTTGTGATTCAGCAACCTACTCACCAAATTGATGCGGCTGAGCTCTTTACTGATGAGATGGTTCATCATTAGGTTCTTGTCTATAATTCAATATCCGTCCTTCCCGGTTGCCTCACGCTCCTTCAGCTGCCAACTGCCCAGTTTCCCAGTAGCCCACGATCACCGTCTCAAACCTTTGTTCTAACAAGCTGCAAATCGAACAAAAGTTCGAATACGATTGCTTTAATTAAATAAATATTCAAATTGAACAACCACTAAACTTCGGCTTGTCCAGTGCGTTTGAGCACCTTCAGTGAAGAAAGGAACACTGCAATTGTGAAGAATTGTTGATCAAACTCTTGATAATCATTGTTCTTATCAAGAAAGTGACCGGTCTAACTATTTGATGATCCATTCGCATAGATCGTATGAAATTAACGACTAGAATCCGTCTAAACGTCTAAACAAACGTCCATTCCCTTTGGTACCATAGGAAAATAATTAACGAGCAGTCTCTCTAAGTTAGCATAAGAAAGTAATGAATCGTTAATGTTATCGTCAATAAAAATTGAAATCTAATTTATTCGATTGCTATTGAATTTTCATTCAGGGACAATTTTCGGTGAAAACTGATGTTTGGTCGTTTGGTGTTATGTTATGGGAAATATTCAGCCGTTGCAAATCGGACCCTTATCCAGGCATGACTAATGTTCAAGCACGTGGAAAAGTGCTGTCCTTTTGAACAACGCATTCTTTTTATGTTGCTTGCAAGTGTCACCATCTTTATTGCTTTTATTATTATTANGAGGCACCGAAACAAGTTCTCACTGAATTCGTTGATCTTCACCGATATAGAATTGATCAGTTCTGTGAGGCAATTTACGATATTGTGTGGTCTTTGATATCTTAATCAAGAAATTTCACATCGATGTAGCATTGATGGGAACCGTTATTTTTTCTGTGGCTGCTGGGTTATTGAATTGAAAATAAGAATATGATTGCAAATGTTAGATTCTGTCAAGAGAAACACCAATGGTCGCACCTGAAGGAACGCCGGAACTTATCAACAAAGTGATGATGCTTTGTTTCACTCAGGTATGCAAGCAGGTCGTCTCTTAAGCACATTCGAAGTTAGACAGATCATTGAATAAAACGTGAAATTTGCAAAATAGTTGAAAAGATCGTACGATGACTCAAGAAAAGTTAAGTCGCAATTCATCATTTCAATCGTACGGTCATTAAGATACTGCAAGTAAAATATCAATGGTCGCATTGACTGCAAATTGATAATGTGATAGCCTCAGCACTGTTTTCACTTGATGGTAGCCTGGTTGTTTTTCATAATTTCACATTCACTATTAACTGGTAAATAGATTATTGATGTCGGTTAATGATATCGATTAATCAGAAATATTGCTTTCATTGAACGAAGCCACTCAGTTATTTCAATTCCAATGTTGACGAAAAGAGATACAATTGATTCGGGTCATACTGAATCTACAGTAATATTCACTGGTTAACAATTTGAGAAATTGAGTAGGGGGAAGTTTGTGCTTCCAACTCTGGTGCTGATAGCACCGGTAAAAGCCGGAACAACTCTATCCCGAACGTGTCTTCTTTAGTTACCACTGAGGAAGATTTTTGCAAAGGAATTCGATCTAAAACAAACTAAACTGAATCTTAGCAATTAAAAAAGATCGAACTGCAATGATTATTCTTCTACAAAATGTGAGCATTCGCTCTTTTCAGGAATCAGAAAAGCGGCCAAATTTTGTGGAACTATTCAAAATTTTGGCTCCAAACGAGAAACCACCCGAACCTGAACGAATAACACGTGTTTAACTTAAATGAAACAATACAAATGAGATTATTACTTGTGATGTCTAAGATGTAATCGCTCACTTCAAAATGATACAGTAACATTTGCATTCGATAATTGTTTGAATATTATTCACCTTGGCCTCATAAATAATTCTTCGCATTACTTTCCGAAATGGTCAACACAATCTTTCCCATCTGTTCATCATTTTACTGTGCAAAGAATGCAATAATCGTTTCAAGTGATACTACAGTCGTGCGCAATCTGAATTGAATTTATTGCATCAAAAAGTTTACAATCTAAAACCGAGCTGTTGCAAAAAATGAAAATGAACATAGTACATAACATTCTTGAAGTGCTAAGATGGTCGAACAGAACATATTGGCAAAGGTGTTGAGCAGAAGCATCTCTATTACTGCTATGACTAGTCGAGGAATACTGACACTTTAATCAAACCGATAGCGGACAGTCGAAAAGAGATGAGCATTTGGAAACAGACACATATCACTGATTAACACAATTGATTGGCTTTTCAGCGTTTAGTTCAGTTGAAACCAGTGATGTTGCCGTTCCAAAAACAAACTGTTTAGCACTTTCGATTGTTCTCTTATGTCCTCTCTTCACTTTCCAAATACTCTGCACAGCGGTGCTGAACAGTAAAACAGAACAGAGATAGATGAATATGGAATATTTATTTGAATTTTTTGATATGATATTAGTGGATGTACGTAACGGGAAAGGAATTTTTTGAATGATACTGATATTTTATTGTTTAATATTTCCAACGTATAATCTTAATTTGTTTCAAAAACATTTCATTTGCACTACTTAGGGAGTGACGGATATTCTTAGTGAAACAATCATTTGCATCCTCCGCAGCTTGCAGGGCACCGTTCGGTTGCTTTTGAATTGCAGCCATATTTACGTATATATCTGCTACAAGCTGACGATGAGTCCTGGCATTTCTTTCCTGGTTCCGGTTCTGTAAAGAATAATAAATATTGCATCGTATGTATTGAAAGTGAATACCTCGGATCAAGACCATCCAAATTTCGACAATTTGTTTGAATTGATAAAGAAAAATTGACTATTGAATTCCTAATTGTTCATCAATCTTGAATTTAATTTGTTCGCAACTTGTGGTTTTTCAAGTTGAAAATGGATCACAATGCGATCCATACGTGCTTAAGAGACCACTGATAATTGCATTAATCAAACTTACTGTTTTGGCAATTATATAGACGATTGATTTTATAGACGTCATTTGAGGAGAAGCCATCACGCTGACCCAGTTTTCTATTGCGATCATCTAGCGCAATAATGGTTGGTTGTCCATTTACAGAAAAAGCGTCGTTCTCGTAATGCATGATGGAACCGTAGTCATACCTCGTTCCCAAGTGGGTAATTGTTTTGAGGGTTTCTTTTTTGAAATTGACTAAAAAAAAANAAAAAAAAACAGTTCCAGTCGTCTTATGAAAACGTCGCAATTTTGATCACAATCGAAGCAGTTAAAAACATTAAATTCTAATCAGTAAATAATTGACTTTTTTATTTGGTGTAATTCCTTATTTAGGCTTCTAAAGGTGCAACTGTAGTGCAAAAAATTGGTGCAAAGTTCGTGATGTCTTAAGACTGATATCAAATTGTTTTGGTCTATTAAGCCACTGACAGCAGCTGAAACAATGACTGAAGGTACAGCCAGCATTTCTTCCACGCAGATGAGTGCAAAATGGTCCGGTGCCAAAAAAAACAGCTCTGTTAACAGAAGCTAAAATACATTACGCCTGGAATGATCTTTACAATCGATCTTCTTTTTTTGACTAAAACATATTGTAGGTTGAGGTTAAACTAATGCTCAAATTTAGGTTCATGCTCATCGCTCAATGTGAAATGAGTCGAGCGTTTGTTCAATTATTCACAGTGAGAGGAAAAACTGATTTTTTTATGCATTTATTTTCCGTTTTTCTCCCTTCCCTCCTGTCTTCCTTTCGTTTCCTATCCCGTTTCCTTGAACCCTTCAAGAACAGCACTTTTCCAGGTAGATGAGTGCAGAATGGTGTGGCGCCAAAAAAATGCTATAAGCAAGTATTTGAGGCACGACTTAGTGTTTGTAACGGTGCCCTCTGCGGGGAGGTGGGAGGTCCATGAGGATTTCTGATGAATGGTCTCCCCGGCTGGTGCAGGGAAATTTTCAATGCTCACGGGTGAACCCGTGAGGAGTGAGTGAATCCTAGCAGGAGTCTTCCACTCATTGCTTGTATGTTGAGGAATATAATTTTCAAGGTTTTTAAAGCAGCTTTTCGAGCATGGCAATGCAGCGCAGCAATTCAGATTTTGCATTGTCAAAGGATGAATGATCGTCGCAAGAAGACAAAATTACATCTCATCGCGATTTACAGACTGCGTACGATTGCATGAATTGTTGTGCAGTAAAATGTGAACTGAATAGTGCTCATTGTGTGCTTTACAAGTTCAGAATTGACTTTTCATTGTGATTAGTATCGGTTAGAGTTGGGTCAGGGGACGTCGAATTGCAAAGGCTCTTGAGATTGCAGTCGAGCACTACCGATCGATTTTCGGAGTCCCCCGACAAGTTTTCGATCTGGGAACCCCGCAAAAAATCTTGCACTTCCCAACTCTAGTATCGGTAGAACAGTCGTTTTGCTTTTTCTCATCATTGCTCTTTTATTACATAAACGCTTCAACTAGTGATGCTCAAATTTGACGAAATTGACTCAGCTCGGTCTCCGCGATATAATGCACGGTGACTCGCCAGTCAGTTGCTCGGAAAAATTTCGGCCCGCGGCCAAACCTACTTGCCGATGGCTGATATATATAAACGTATTATAAAATCGCAAACAGTGCAACAATTAAACACCTTACGAGCACACTTAAGATTTACGTTGTATCCATGTCGTTAGAACAAAGACTTACGCCACTTTGATGATATACTCAACGAATGAATTGTTTGCCTTGAACAACAAGAAAAACTCACATCGCATAGGTGGGTTAATGTTCTCGAACAGAACTCGTACGTAATCATCTCTATCGGCTCGATCTGAATTTGTAAACGCTGTCAGTTTTCACATGACTTAAAATCGAACGAGTAATTTTTCGCACGATGATGTTCAAAGTATTGCTTTCGTTTTAACCATGCTGACTCACTCAATCCATACATTTTCTGAACGTTTGTGAGGCAATTTTCAAATTGCTTGGAATAAAGTTTTATCAGTTGGTGAACTGTTAAGAATTAGGTTGAATGACAATTTGAAGTGAATGCAAAAACAGCAACAAATTAATATAGAAAGTACTACCACATACTTTGTTCATGATGAAAACCAATAGCATGCATCATTTCATGTTCAGCTATACCCACATAACCACAGCGGTTGCCCAACGATAGTTGTTGCTCACCACCTGCAAGCGTTTCAATAATAATAATAATAATAGTAATAATAATAATAATAATAACAATAATAATAATAATAACTCGCCTATTCTGCCGACATACGAATAGCATCCGTTTGCTTTGATGATGACTACATAATCATTTTCCGTAGTTCTCTTAACCCATCGTATACACGTCTTGTCCCTGTACTCCTGCATGGCTTTTGCAATAGCAGCTCGTCTGAAATGGAACGAGTTGGTCTTATTTGCTGGTGGCTATTGAATGAACTGCGTTGTATCATTTTTCAGTAACCCACTGATTATTACCCGAAGATACATCTTTTGAGACGTTCTCTTTAGCTCATCAATGACGTTGCTCTTTGTGATGGCAATCTTGATAAAATTACACCGCTGCATACATTCCCCGTCATTTTTAGGTTTGACTGTTCAAAATTAAAAACATCTGCACGTCATGGTGCGTTTATGCTTCTATTTTTATAGCCTTATTGATCAATAGCCTCAAATAAAGATTTATTATTATTATTCATTATTATTATTA